TGGGGAACTAGGGAGCCTAGACGTATGTTGGTTTTGATCTAGCAACAAACACTCTTGTGGGTTTTAACGTTTTTGTGGGCATCTAAACATTCAAGATATTTCTTACAACCACACAAAATAAAAAAGGAAGTATTTTTTTACACAATTGGATTCTTTTTAAGCAGTATTTCAAGAATAAGGATTTCCGCCCCAGCACCCACAAGCACCATTTATACATGTGAAAGTGAATCACCATCTTTTCCTTGTGTTTGCTTTTATAGCAACACTTCTTTCTCTCTCTTGCCCAGGGTATAGGGTTTTTGGTTTTTTTTTGGTTTGTTCGTTATTTCTCTTTGGAAGGACAAAAATAATGATTCCAACCCTGGCAGCTCAGACTCAACACAGATACTCCCGGTGTGCACCAAACCACTTTAATAATGCAGTGGTCATTAAGATCAGCCTTGAACCAGCTCCTCCTCCAACCCCATTTTCAGTCCCAAGGGAAAGATATGGAGAAATGGTGCCAAAGCACCGTTCTGTGAGCCTGGAGTTATCTCTCACGGTAACCATCCAAAACAAAATAATCATGACACTGAGCACAAGTGGGGAAACTGAACAGCTACTCAAAAACGACACCCTATCTGTTTGAGGGCAGGACAGCATCTATGGGACCTTTTAAAAACATTTTTTTAAAAAATGAAGAATATTATTTAGTAGTTCATCAATATTAATCTTCACCCAGATGAACAGTTTTCCAATATTCTTAAATGAACTAAGAGTTGGGTGTGAAAATGCATGAAAATTCTTTCAGAATGGGGACTTTAAGAAAATCTAAAGGTTTAAGAAAGGTCTAAACAATGATGGACCAATAACAGGTAAGGATATGGAAAGGAGACACTTTCTAAAGGCTGACAGGAGTGTGGAGTTTTGAGCAGCAAGTAAAAACTAGTTTTGCAAGTTGCCTTGACCCAAACCGGTAATGCTGGTCAGTCAATGGAAGTTCACAGCCATCCACGGAAACAAGAGGGAGTCACAACTTTCTTCCTCATAGTTCAAGATATTCCTGCTATATCTTGTTACTTAATTAGCTCACAGGGATTGACTCTTTACCACTAAATAGTTTTCTAATACTTCAAAGCAGAACATAAGTTAGATATAAAATTCAAGGACAAATTCTTTTAGAATGGAAGCTAGCTTATACAAATATTTAACTTCCCTGAGTTTTTTCAAAGGCAGAAACAATAACATAATGCATTTTAATAGCTGAACATAACTCAAGTTTATAAGTCTTTTCTTCCTTAAAAAAATAAAAGGTCCAGTCTTAATCCCCAATATCTTCAGCTAAGGCTGAGAAATACTCCATTTTAAATATCTGAAGAGCTCCATCTGAACATTACTGAATGATTTACCGTATTTTTCGCTCCATAAGACGCACCTTTCCATAAGACGCACCAATTTTTTAGGAGAAGAAAACAGGAAAATATAATCTGTTTTCTTCGCTCCATAAGACGCACAAACTTTCCACCCCCGTTTTGTGGGGAAAAAGTGTGTCTTATGGTGCGAAAAATACGGTAAATCTGTATAAGGGAGCATCACCCTAAGCCCCATGTTTTTCTAAAAAAGGAAGTCCTGAAACAGAGAGTCAAGCTGCTGTGCCTTACTGAAAAGGACACAATAGAGAATATCACCACGGAAAAGCCAAGATACTCTTCTGAAAGCCAAAAAAAGAGGGTTTCCTCTGATTACCCTTAACACAGGTGGAGGAAAAAGAATTAGACATTTTATGATGCATCAATGATCGCACCATATATCATAATTAATTCATAATTTTCTCTGTCACTAAACAACTCCCAGCAGCTCCTAATCTCACTCTTCAGTAAATGCGTTGCACCAAATCCTTGGTGAAAATGGAACAGCTATTTCTGAATCTTCTTTTTTTAAAAGCGTGCTAACTTTAGAATAATACAACTCTATTTAAAACTTTTTATAGGACTCCACCCCAGTAATGAAACTGCAACTCACAGTTCCATGTCTTCCCAAGCTTTTTTCATTTTGCAGAGCCAGGCAATTTATGACTCTAAGAACTACAAGTTAAGATCTGATAGGCAGGAGGGTTGGGATATAATCATATATCAATTTTAGCTGTCCCAGACAAGCATCAGAGTCATGAGATTTATTTTAAATTCTGAATTTGGGATTTTCTGCCTGCTGAACGTATGTCTGACCACTGAGCTATGCCTCTCCCCCTTGTGTATGGGGCCCCTTGTCAGCTTGCATTAAGTGGCTGATGAACGGCATTCAGCTTAGCAGCTTGCAAGTCATACAAGCCCTTTCTAAATACGACTGCTTAAATTCAGAAGACAAATTACATCAATTTAGAGCTAAAAACATTTGGCTTACCGTACTACATCTTCAATCTGATGACTTATTGTTATTCGTCCAACAAATCTATTAAAAAAAATTCATGTGTCACAACAATGCACATCTGAGGAAAAGCCATTCATTTAATTAGGAATGGTACAGAAGGGCATGCTTATCTTTTGACCTGTCATTAATCCCTGGTCATGACGCAATACAGAGTGGTTTCCCCAAAGACCTACTAAAACCATGGTTCAAGGCAGCAAACTAATCACTTTTCAAGAAAATTATTTCAATAAAAAGGGGAATTTAAGCTGACTTCTACAAAAGTCAATTTTATAACAAGATGCATAAAGAAGAAATGGGCATTGTCAGTTATTACACAACAGGGCCACATATTTAAAATATATGTTGATTTTTACATATACACAAAGGGTTTGATCTGCCATTTTCCTGACACTAAACACATTCTCTGACAATTTGGAGGGCATTATATCAGTTGGCAACATCTGAGGCTAATAGAGATTTGTATACTCCTACAACTTCTTAGTGGGGGGGGGGGATACAAATGATTGAGTCTTCCTGAAATACTCCTACAACTTCTTAGTGGGGGGGGGATACAAGTGATTGAGTCTTCCTGAACTGAGAGGCAGTGGAAGACAGGAGTGCCTGGTGTGCTCTGGTCCATGGGGTCACAAAGAGTCAGACATGGCTTAATGACTGAATAACAACGATACAATGCTTAATATTACCACTTATGACCATTTCTCACATCTTTTAAAACACCGTTACAAAAGTAACACCTGTAAAGATCTGCTTCTGGTTGCTGGCATTCTATAACGGCAACAAGTTTGTCCAGCTTGGCAACTGACTGCAATACTGCGGTTTCTGGGACGGCAACATGTGTCTGAAAGAGAAAGAAACCCATACACGTTTTCCATCAGGCAATGATAAGTATTTCAAGATTTTGAACAGAATCTGAATGCAAAGGATACAACTGCCTTCATTCTCTGCTCATCAACCAAACCTCCATTTTGGAAAAAATGAAAACAACAGAGAGAAGGATACAACTGCCTTCATTCTCTGCTCACCAACCAAATCTCCATTTTCGAAAAAATGAAAACAATAGAGAGTGCAAACAAATACAGTGGTGCCTTGCTTAGCGATTGCTTCGTTTAATGATGCATTCGCTTAGCGATGGGCTTTTTTTGAGGAATTTTCCATACGTTTAACGATGTTCTCTACGTGCCTCGCTTAGCGATTGCTTCGTTTAACGATGTATTCGCTTAGCGATGGTTTTTTTTGAGGAATTTTCCGCATCGTTTAACGATGTTCTCTACGGGTGATTTTCACTTAACGATGTCCGTTTTCGCTCATTTAAACGTGTCTTAGCAGACACTTTTAAATGAGCGAAAACGGACATCGGAAAGGGCTTCAAAAGCACTGAAGCCAGCTGTCCGTTCAATGGATTTAAATGGGGAAACCAAAAAATCACCAAAAATTAACAAAGACTGAGAACAAAGCCAAATTAAGTTTGCAAAGGTTTCACAAGGTGCTCTAACGATTCCAAGCATTTAAAACCGGTTTCAAACATGTTAAGACACTTTTAAATGAGCGAAAACGGACATCGGAAAGCCACTGAAATGCATTGAATAGGCGTCAATGCATTCCAATGGGGGAAACATTGTTTCACTTAGCGATGTTTCCTATGGGGATTTTCACTTAAGAATGGTAATCCGTTCCCATTGGAACAGATTTCCCGGTATTCAATGCATTCCTATGGGAAATGGTCTTTCGCTTAGCGATGTTTTCCCATAGCGATGGTTTTTTTGGAATCAATTAACATCGTTAAGCGAGGCACCACTGTAATGTTAAGTGGCTGCATGTCCTGATGTATTTAAGCCCATTTGTTACAAGAAACAGTCACTAAAGTGCTAGACTAGAGGGAGACAGGCTGAAATCCCACTTAAGTCTCTTAATTCACTGGATAGTCTTGGGCCAATCATTACTCCTCTGCTTAATTTACCTCTCATGTTTGCTACGATGACAAAAATATGGCATGGGACAAAACTATCTACATTACGATAAGGTTCTTGAAGGAAAGACTAGAAACGCTTAAAACAAATGTTACAACGAAGTATGTTGGCCACTTCCATAATCCTGTCAACTAGGGAGGGAAGTCTTAGCCTGTATCTTATCAGGTGCCCAGGTAGCACCTATTTATCTACTGGTAGGACAATATAAATGGCCAGCTTTACGAAGAGGTAACATACACATCACCACCCAGGTAGACATCAGTCTGGATTTAACCACTGAGTTTACAAAAGTAGTTGTCACTTGAGGCCACTATCACCTCTCTATAGTACAGCATAAAGAAACAGCCCAAAAGACAAAGAGTCCATTTAGGCAGAGATTAAAATGAGATTCTGGAGATAAAATCCAAAGTACATCCAGAATCCCATCAATATTTTGTTACTTAAATAAAAAAAAAATAAAAAAAATTAAAATTAGTAATAATAAATAATACTTGAACCCATAACGTAAAACAAGATAAATTGTAAAATGATACTTGAAGACAAAACAGGAGCAAAAGCACAAGGATTTTTAAGAGTACCAACTTCAACAGCTGACTGGAGATGCTACTAACAATTTCATAATCAATATTGCCAATATTAATCCATATTGTCAATATACAACACTGTATATAACTACAAACAAGTTTAATTTTTCTTCAGTTCCTAACTAAATCATTACATCTTAATCTGTGGCTCCTTGCTATCAAGTTCAAAAAAGGCCACCACTTTCTCCACCATAAATGATTCTCCTGTGGACAGAATATACCTCAATGTGTCACAATCCATACAGCCCCTATTCTTTAACAAAAAAGGGGTCTAGATTAGAGATGGGGATATACGTATTAGCAAACAAACATGAATATCCCATCATTTCGACCACTCTAGGCGGCTGATTAGAGATGGGGATATACGTATTAGTAAACAAACATGAATATCCCGTCCCAGGTGAGCCTAATATGGGTCCAGCCCTTAGAACTAGCCCATCCACTCATGCTTCGCCGTGCCAGCACCTCCCTGCTCTTCACTGCAGTAGCTCCACCATCTCTCCGTTCGGCTGGCTACCTCAGCCAGGGGACTAGAGTAGCTCCACCGTCTGCCGGCACAGATACTGACTAGCCAGCTGAGCAGAGAGACAGCAGAACTACTGCTGGAATGGGAAGGAAGAGCGGGAGGGCTGGCGGTGGGCCGAAGCGTGGGTGGACGAGCCGGTTCCGGGGGCCAGATCTGCTACGAATATGACTATCCCCGTCTCGAATCTAATTTCTGCAGAGATCTGTATAGAATGAATAATACAAAATCATCTCTCACTGTGTGCGACCCCACTGAATCTTTCATAACTGTTACAAACTGCTGATTTGCAAAAATGATGGAAACAGACCTTAAGATTTGTTTCTCCATCCAAGCTCGCAGTAGTAACATAACAAGAGCCGTCTGGTCTATCAGAGGACAGAAGTACAAGATCGACTGGGAAAGTTTCATCTTTGGCTACTCTGACAATATCGCCCACCTGAGAAGATAGAAAAAGAATTTCCATGCAGACAGTGACTACTAAAGCAATAGTTGAACATTCAAATCAATAACAGTCAGGATACAACAGACCATTTCTACTGATGGAATCATGAGCCGGGCAACACCCTGATACCCACTTCTTGGAGTTCTCATGTAGCCTGGAAAAGTCTTGGAAGCTATATGGAGTAGCTGCTCAGTGCTGTGGTGGGATACAGGAGTGGAACATCTCGGGGCTAGGCAGCACTGGATTATGGTGACTATCAGTTTTAATTTTAAAAATAATTGCATGGTACACAAAGCAATTGCTCTGTAGTTCAATTACCACCAAAATGAGCAGTTTGCAAAGGGGACAGCCATGTTATGTAGCCCACCAAGAAAAAAAAATGGAACAGTATTATGGCAACTTTAAGACTAACATAAATTTTAGCATGTGTTCTCTTTGATTACACACCACATCCTCAGATGCACGGAGAACAATAATGTGCCTCAAGTATATATGAATATTGAAAGAAGTAAAAACAGAGCCATCTTGGACGCAGACTGCTAAGATACATACCCGAATATTCTTTGATCTAGTTTTAACAAGGCCACCGCTACGTACAACGTACACTGGAGCTCCATTCACTTCATTGTCTGCTTTATGCCGCAACCAATCTTCATATCCCTGGAATGATTCAACTATTAGAAGTTATTTTTTAAAAAGTATTTTTTTTGGAAAAATTAGTAACTTATTTTGAAACTAATTTGAAAAATGTTATGAAATCTGATCTGAGAACTAAGAACAGGGAGACCGTGCGCATGCTTTAGCCTGCACAATCTGTTACGGAGAGGGCTTCCCTTCCTCACACTCCAATAAATAGAAACATTATCTTTTCAGCCAGTTTCCTAATTACTGGATGGAAGAAAGGTTAGCCCTTGATTAGAAAACAAGGAGAAATAAGCGAGATTATGCTCTGTTGTTGTGCAACAGAAACTTTAAGCAGCAGGAGATAAGGTAAGAAAATCATTAAAGCTCCTGCTCATGGATTTTTTATAAAAATGTTTTATGAACAGTATTAACGCTGGCAAAATGAACAATCATCTTTTTGGGACATTCTTGGTTTTAATGTTTATTGGTTCTCTTTACTGACTTATGTGTGAGATTGTATAGTTGCATTTTAACTATTAGCCACCTGGAGTAGTGCTTAGGTGCTAGATGGGTGGATATAAATGTAACGAATGAAATCATTTGATCAAATCAAATGAATAAAATATTAACCAATTCTGCACTAAGATTATTACCTATATCCTCTCCAACAGAGAAAAAACATTGCCCAGGAATGTGCTAATGCAGTAGGTTCAAATCAACTCAAGTGGAATGATCCACAATACTCTTTTGTTGCAAATTATATGTAATATAAAAGTTATCAAATGCAGTCTCCTGCCATGTTTAATCCAGCACGTGTATTACAAAAGGGTTCCCGAAACAGTGTAGGTGATGTAAGGAACCTGTATGTATGCCTGAGGAAAGGTCATGAAAAACTGGAAGAAACTGCAGGTGTCAGGACTTCCTTCGGCTACCATTAGCTTGGCTGCAGGAAAGCTAGCATGACAGGCTGTCACCAAGGCAACTGGCCTGAGATTACCTGCTTGAGTGGGAAGAATAAACAGCAAGCTGGAATGGCCAAGTTCTGTTCTTTCAATAAAGGGGACTGGAGCTTACCAAAGTCCCGTGCAGATGAAAGAGACTTTGGAATACAGTAAAATACAGTACTCAACATAAAAAAACCCTAAAATGTGGGCCACTGGTCCCATCACCTCCTGGCAAATAGAAGGGGAAGATATGGAGGCAATGACCGATTTTACTTTCTTGGGCTCTATGATCACTGCAGATGGCGACAGCAACCACGAAATTGAAAGACACCTGCTTCTTGGGAGGAAAGCGATGGCAAACCTTGACAGCATCTTAAAAAGCAGAGACATCACCTTGCCAACAAAGGTCTGCATTGTAAAAGCTATGGTTTTCCCAATAGCAATGTATGGAAGTGAGAGCTGGACCATAAAGAAGGCTGACCGCCAAAGAATTGATGCTTTTGAATTGTGGTGCTGGAGGAGGCTCTTGAGAGTCCCCTGGACTGCAAGGAGAACAAACCTATCAATTCTAAAGGAAATCAACCCTGAGTGCTCATTGGAAGGACAGATCCTGAAGCTGAGGCTTCAATACTTTGGCCATCTCATGAGAAGAGAAGACTCCCTGGAAAAGACCCTGATGTTGGGAAAGTGTGAAGGCAAGAGGAGAAGGGGACGGCAGAGGACGAGATGGTTGGACAGTGTCATTGAAGCTACCATCATGAATTTGTCCCAACTCTGGGAGGCAGTGGAAGACAGGAGGGCCTGGCATGCTCTGGTCCATGGGGGCACGAAGAGTCAGACACGACTTAACGACTAAACAAAAAATATAGTACTGATCATCACAAGCTACGATGATCTTCAAACCTAAGTCCTTCAAGCCCTGTTGCTTTGAAAAACATATTGTAGTGATGATTTGCATTAGCTGACTTTGGAGATTTTATCCTCAATGTCACGATACATTAAATAAAACAAAAACAAACCATCTTTAACATTTTCAAATAAGCAGAAGATTCTATCAGTTCAAAGCTGTATACTGTCCTTCTGGTAAGTGAGAGACAGAAGGAAAAGGGTCTTTATAATAAGAAGTGACATACAATGCCCTTAGAAAAACATTCCGTGCCAATCTCTCACTGCCCACTTAAAGGTCCTACTGTGAGTCACCGAGTGCACGGCAGCTACAGAAATCATCCCTAGGCTAACCTGCTGATCTGTAACATAAAACATATTTACTTCTTTTCAGTGAGGAGCCTGATGCCTGCAGAATGGTGCTAAATTTCCTAAAGGCCCCCAAAAGACATGCCAGCAGTGCAGATGCTCAAGACTTGGCTGCATTCCACTACACACAAACAATCTTCATCACATTGCAGCTGAATTAGCAGATCTACAAAGTATGAATTGTAAGCACCTATCTGGAACCAGCTTCACAGGAATTCCGATCCATTTCCCCTTCAACGGAATACAAAAGTCACAAGTGTAATAGGTGCAAGAGCAGAATTTCTGGATCCTTTAGGAGAAAAGCAGCATATATATGTGTGTATGTGTATGTATATGCTGCCTTTCTCTTAAAGCAGTGGTCCCCAACCTTTTTCAAACTGTGGACCGGTTTAGCATGCATGCTGGGGAGAGTCTGTGTGTAGGCGTGGCATCCGTGCGTGGGGTGTCCATGCGTGGGTGGGCAGGCATGGCATCTGTTCATGCATGGGGGGGCGTACGTGCGTAGATGAGGCATGTGTGTGTCCATCAGTGGGGCATCCATGCATGTATGTGGACAGGGTGTATGTGTCTACAGGGGTTGTGCATGCCGGGGGGGCGGGGAGAGATCTGTCTCTGCAGCCTGGTCCTGCCAAGGCCACAGCCCAATACCGGGCTGCAGACCGGGGGTTGGTGACCCTTGTCTTAAAGGATCCAAGAAGGCTTACAGTATTAAAATAAACAAAGTTAAAAGGTAAAATAATATTTTTTTTACAATAATGAACAGAATTAAACAAATATATTAAAACTTAGAATTGTATAAATTATACACGTATACATTTTATGAGACACAAAATCACATTCCCACATGACATTATCTTCTTGACCCTTCAAAAATCCTCTTGCCATTTGTACAGTTTGTGTTTACACCTGCAGAGGGTCTTGATAGTTACCCTAAGAAGTCATGTCATTCTGTGATACTGCACAACTCGACCGTATATTCTCACTCTGGGAAGAAGATGTGGAACACCACCCGCAGGACTCTTGTGGGATACGGTTTTCCACAATTGCTCAGACTTTTGCAGCTGCAAAGTTAGTTAGTTAGGAGCCTCATGACACAGTGGGTATTGCAACCAGAACTGTGCTCATTGACCCCAGGTTCAATCCCAGGTAGCTGGCTCAAGGTTGACTCAGCCTTCTATCCTTCCGAGTTCGGTAACAGGAGTGCACAGCTCGCTGGTGGGGCAATGTGTAGCATGCATAAATAACTTGTAAACTGCCCAAAGAGTGCTTTAAGTGTTATGGGGTGGTATATAAGCAGCATGCTTTGCTTTTTTTAAAAAAAGTGGAACTATATAACAGAATTTGGGCCAACATGTAAAACTGCATATACAAGCTGAGCACCACTGGCTCCTGGAGAAATAAATAATATCACAGTGCTGTTCAACATACAGTGAATGAATTTTACATATATGGGAGAGATCCAAGTAGACTGACATAGTGATATCACTTTTAGCTGCTGACTTGTGCTGCACATGATACAGAAGTTTGTCTTAAGCAACATTTTTGGAATGTTTATCTCCTTACCTGCTTTATGGCTGTTACTGTTATTACAAAAAACAATGGCAATCCACTGGTAATTGGACTTGTAGGTGTATCTATCATAAGCTAGAACAGAAAAATAAGGATAAAGATAGTTTTCGTAATGAGCATAGTTTTGAAGGTATGTTACTGTGTTTCCCCCAAAATAAGACAGGGTCTTATATTAATTTTTGCTCAAAAAACCACATTAGGGCTTATTTTCAGGGGATTTTTTTCATGTACAACAATCTGCATTTGTTCAAATACAATAATGTTTTCTTCTTTTGGTTGCTGCACAATGGTGGAGGAGGATTCACTTAACTAGAGCTTGTATTTGGGGTAAGACATATTATGAGCATCCTGAAAAATCATATCAGGGTTTATTTCCAGGTTAGGTCTTATTTTCAGGGAAACAGGGTAGTCAAAACTGTACAACACATTCAGGAGTCTACAAATTTTGGCTTTTGATTCTCATAAACCTGGCTTAACCAAAGAGGGGCATTTTCTGTTCCTCTTCATCACTTGGACACTTCCAAGAGCCTCTGAAGTCTAATACAATGCAGAGAAGGAGCCTAATTAACCTTTGAAGGCACTTAAAAGTCTTCTTCCTATACAACCAACTTCAAAGAAACCTGCCAGTCTCCCTCTGGACTAAAATATTATTAATACATATTATATACCATCAAGTTGGACCCATCTTGTATTGATCCTAATAGGGCTCTCAAGGTTTCGTGATATATTTAAGGAATGATTTTTAACAGTTCCAATCCACCCACCCCTTTGAGTTTCCACGGTTGAGCAGAAATGCAAACCCAGATCTCTGGAGTCCTCGTCCGTGACTCTACCCACTGTACCACAATAAAATTAATACTGGCTATTGGTCAACAACTTGACAGCCCTCCATTGTACAACAAAAAATGTACAATGTCATGGCAGTAATCCCTCCTTGCTTCAGAAGGGGTGAAAGAAGGTTGTGCTGTCAAACCGTTGTATGGGCTGATATAGAGATTCACTCCAGTCTGTACTGTTTACGAGATATGTCAGGGTTTGCTTGATTTAAGCAGTCACATAAGAGATTGGGTCTCTGCATTAACCCTCCAAGCACAAAGAGAACAACACATAGGGTCGGTGGAAGATAGGCACATACATAACCATATTTCGGCATGATGAGAGCCTGCTGTTCCACATTCATGTTGCTCACGTTGAAAAATATAGAAGTACAATTTGTCGTATGAATACTGTATTGTAGTGCCAACTACAGCAGAAAATATTAACAAGCTCTCCTCTTATGATCTTCCAACTTCTAGAGGAAAAGCAGTATCTTGTAAAACAGGCAGCAGGTATTCCGGGAAAAATATCAACGGAACAGCAATTATTCAGAACGCAACATTAATCTAAGAGACTTACTATATTTAAGCATAATTTAACACATTAGCTAAGAAGGACAAAGAATAGATTCTATGTAAATAAATCATGTCCCTCTTTCCAAGGATGAGATTTAGCAGTTAATCCTCACAGAAGAAAGCAGTTTAGGACAAATCAATGACCGTATACAGTGGGGTCTTGACTTGAGAACTTAATCCGTATTGGAAGGCGGTTCTCAAGTCAAAAAGTTCTCAAGTCAAATCTGCATTTCCCATAGGAATGCATTGAAAACCATTTGATCCGTATCTGCTCTTTTCCGTCCACAGAAACTAATGGAAAGCTGCTATTCTGCCTTCGACCACTAGAGGGGGATATTTTATTTCTTAGGTCAAGAAAGGTTCAGGGAAGGCAGGGAAAATACAGTCCAGGCAGTACAAGTACCAGGCAGTCCGAAGACTGTCTCCCAATCCACTCTCTAAACGCTGGGAGGAGTGAGGAAGCAGACAGGCACCCTTTTCACTGGCCAACAGTTAACTGAAAGTTCAAATTTTGCACTTTCCCTGCCTCCCACGTGGTTTTTTTTCAGTTCATAACTCAAATCTAAGTATGTAAGTCAAGTCAAGATTTTCCTATAAGAGTGGTTCTTGAGTCAAAATGTTCTTAACTCAAGCCGTTCTTAAGTCAAGACCCCACTGTACCACTTTAATGTTTGGCTTAAAGTAGCCAAGCTGTGCTATTTTTTACTAGGCCAGGTTGCTGTGTTTATACATTAGGCACATAATTAGTTTTAAAGCTCATTAATCAGCCGGCACCAGTTTACTATTGGGTGCACTTTGGCATCTGGTTTGTTCACAATTCTACAGTTAGATTTACACAACACCATAGGAGGTATATCCCCATGGTCTACTGCAGACTGTTCAGGAATGAGTACTCGATAGGGCATGTGCATATAGACGTGAAAAGAATGTGAGTGAAACATGACAAAAATATTCCCAGCAAGAAAAGAACGAGGAAAACTGGCACTGTCCACCTGGTTGCTTCTTCCAAGACATATCTATGAGTGACATGGAATTCCACAACTAATAAGCAGTTCTCAGTAACTACTGGGGACACAACAAATGCACTCATAAAGATGTGACTTTTGCCTATTTTTTAAAAATCCAGAGTACTAAGACTAACTATGACTAGTACAGCTAAAACTGGGCTTTTTCTGGAGTTGACTATCAGGGCTTTAATAATCAAGACCTGATAAATCCAACCCAAAACTTAGCATCAAGGAATCTGCATCAAGGAATCCAGTGCTCCAACACTGGAGGCATTCAAGAGAAATTTAGATGACCACCTGGCAGATATCCTTTGACTTGTACTCCTGCACTGAGCAGGGGGTTGGACCCTTACAGGCCCCTTCCAACTTCATGATTTTATGAACCTGGTCTAGATTTCTGGACTGTAGTCTGCTCTAAATAGGCCCTAATTCCCTTACTTCCTTCTTTTAATTCTCTCAACATACACACACCCATACTCATATACACATGAAGTCCAGACTTCACAACTTTTACTTTTTTCCCCCTGACGTTCCCATCTGGATTTTCCTGGATCAATGAACTTGCACGCTCCCCTAGATCTTCAAGAACCTGTCCTTTGGAAATGGGAACTGTATGTCTTTCTATCTCAATCTTTACATCCAAGATTGTTAAGCAGCTGGGAACATAACAGCTTAAACTAGAGAAGATTAGAGGCATATATAATGTTTTCGAAAGAGCTAACTATGGCTAATTTTGTGTAACTATAATTTAATATGATACTTTAATCCAGACTGTTCTGTATTACCACTTTTCATTTCATCACTGTATTGCACTGTTAGGAATTCACTGATTTTCCTCTATTTTTTTTTACATTGTGCCTTCATTTCATGCATCTCATTCCCTGTTTATACAGTGGGGTCTTGACTTAAGAACGGCTTGAGTTAAGAACATTTTGACTTAAGAACCACTCTCTTAGGAAAATATTGACTTGACTTACATACTTAGCTTTGAGTTAAGAACTGAAAAAAACCCACGTGGGAGGCAGGGAAAGTGCAAAATTTGAACTTTCAGTTAACTGTTGGCCAGTGAAAAGGGTGACTGTCTGCTTCCTCACTCCTCCCAGCGTTTAGAGAGTGGATTGGGAGACAGTCTTCAGACTGCCTGGTCCTGGACTGCCTGGACTGTATTTTCCCTGCCTTCCCTGAACCTTTCTTGACCTAAGAAAAAAAGAAACAAAATATCCCCCTCTAGTGGTCGAAGGCGGAATAGCAGCTTCCCATTAGTTTCTATGGACAGAAAAGAGCAGATACGGATCAAATGGTTTTCAATGCATTCCTATGGGAAATGCAGATTTGACCTGAGAACTTTTTGACTTGAGAACCGCCTTCCAATACGGATTAAGTTCTCAAGTCAAGACCCCACTGTATGCTGTGATTTAAATAAATCAAATTAATTACCGCCAGTGAATAGCTTCAGATAATCTCTGGTTACACCCTCTTGCCGACTGGGACAAACAGAAAAACCTCATTTTCAGTCATAAAATCTTCTTAAAACCAGTATTATTTTATCCTAACTTTTAAATGCTCTCATAGAAGAGCAAACCAAAACAAAGCAGTTCTGACACATCGTTGTCCATTGTTGTTTAGAATGCCTCCACATTTGCATGATGAGTTAAGAGACGCTGTATGCTGCCACAGAGCTTTCAATCTGATTAAGTCTATGAAGAATGGAATGTGTAAGTAAATGTACTATTCAAGGAATGCGGGTTGGAACGAGAACATAAAATCTTGATGGAAGTGCAGATAAAATTATTTGTTTTCCTACTCTGAGAAGCAGTACATTATTAAAGTACCATTCGGGCAATAATTCAAGATACTGTACATCTTGTTAGGGTGCGGGAGCCAATGCCAAAGAAATGCAGCTAACTGGGGCTGGTTACAGGAATCACATAAACCCTGTTACAGCAGCTTGACTGGTTGCTGATCTATGTCTGGACAGAATTCGAAGTGTAAGTTCTAACCTGAAAAGCCCTAAATGGCCTGAGCTTCTTAACTATCTCAAGGACCGCATCTCCCTTTATGGCATACTTGAGTGTTAAGATCATCAGGAGATGCCTTTCTCTTGGTCCCACCACCTTCACAGGTGCATCTGATGGGGACACAGGAGAGAGCCTTCTCTGTTTTTGTTCCCAGACTCTGGAACTCCCTCCCACTGGAGGCCAGACTAGCCCCCATCTTTGCTATCCTTCCCCAAGCAGGCAAAGTCCTTTCTCTTCAGGCAAGCCTTCCCTTAGTGACTGGCTGCCTCAGTAAGGTTTTTGAATGGATTACTGCCCGTAATGTGCTTTGATATCACTTATGTTTTTTTAGTATCTAAACGAGCAGACCTTGTCTAGAGGGGCGGGGTATAAGTCCAAATAAAGTAAAGTAAAGTAAAGCATAAGCAACACAACAAAACTGCTTTCGGTCCTTTCTATGGAGAAAGAAGGGTTGAAAATATTTTGAACAAACAAAGATTCCAAAGGCCTAAATTCAATTACACAAGTACATCCATTAAATCAACTGCCAAATAGTAAATCAACACGTATGATTCAATGGGTCAAACTATAGTTGGGATTGGTTTTAGCTGCATTGTACCATTCTATTGCTAAGGCTAAGCCAGCCTAATTTTGTACACTACCAGGACAGGATGCTACCCGGATGCTGAACGTAAGCCTCTCTAACATAAAACTTTAGTGACTAATTTTTGAAACACTGGCCAGAATCAACTTCCAATTTAAGCTTGCTTAAGTGAACTGGCAGGAAGTCATAGCTGTTCATTAATGAGGGGCTAGCTGCATTCCTGCACTCGTGCAGCAGGATCCTGGCCACTGTGCATCTATATGCAACTTACAGTAAAAACAACAATCCAGCAGTTACTAATAGAACTGAAATAGATAAAAGCAGCATGGCAAATAACATTAACGTCTGAGAATTGTAATGTAAGAAACTTCACACAATATGTTTTCTTTGCTTCTGAAATAATCAAGATAGTAATTAGTTAAAATGAAGTAAAATCCTTCAGGAAGGCCTATAAAAGCATTCAAATCTTTTATGCAAGCCTTTTTCTTTAATTTCCCTTCCTTTTATTTTATTTTCAAATTGCACTTTTGTTGGTTGTTTTACGCGTTCTTTATTAACTACTAATCAAAATAATAAAAAAAAATCCACTTTAAACTCCTCTGAAAGAGAAATGAGTGAAAAGTATAAATTCAATTAAATGGCTGAAAAAATGGAACAATGTCATTCCCTCAATATTTATTTGCAAAAAGGAAGATTGCAATGAAACTGTATATTAAAATTTTAAAATTTGTTCCGTAACAAAAATTATGAGCATAAGAATTCAGAACAGTAAGGATAGTGATAAAGCTGAATGAGGAAGCAAAGTGAAATAGAATACACTGACATGATGGCTATTCAATGAAGATTGTGGAAGCGCTGCTTATAAAAAAAGCATGTTAAGAATCCCATCTTACTAAAATCTATTTTTACATCTTAGAAAGAGGCTTCAACAGAACTTTTGAAATGCACAGATAAAAGCCAAGAGGAAATCCTAGTGAAATAATTCACAATGGATTTCAGATGACATCACTATACACTAACTTGTACAGACAAGCTAAATGACTGTGGGAGAAACAAGATCTATAAAACATTTACTGAGAAACCAGAAATGGTTTCCGCTTTTAGTTGTTTCATGAACTGTTTTCATTTGCTCTGTCCTTTCACTTGCTCTTTTGATTAAAATTGCTATGACATGGATTTTTAACATACTGTTTTTAATGTGAAATCCACAAGACCTCTCTGAAGACAGTGAACTGACTAGCATTTAGAAGACAAAATATAACCAGCAACTAACTCAAAATAAACGAACAGTAGTTTACAAAAGGGTGTGTGTTCATGCACAAAAAAGAGCACATGAAAGCCTCCCTACCATGTCAAACAAGGTGGCACTAGCTAGCTGACCATGACTGACATCCTGTTGCTTAGCAAGAGCAAGTCACAACTAGAGTTAAGGTTCACTGAATCAATGGAACATATGGAACAGGTGACTCCCCAGATCCCAGGTGATTCAATGGGCCTACTCCAATTGCAACTTACTTTGCTAAGTAACAGGATTTCAGCCCTTGTTTACAGTGGTGCCCCAATTGACGATGACCCTGCCTGACGACAAAATCGCTTTACGATGATTTTTTGTGATCATTATAGTGATCGCAAAATGATGTTTCTATGGTTTTTTTTTCACTTTACGATAAATAGTTCCCTGCTTCGGGAACTGTTTTTTTTCAGTAGACGATGACTAGAAACAGCTGATCGGCAGTTTGCAAAATGGCTCCCCGCTGTTTTCCGGACCGACTGTTTGCAAGACAGGTATCCCAAAATGGCTGCCCTATAGAGGCTCTTCGCTGGACGATGAGGTATTTCCCCCATCGGAATGCATTGACTGGTTTTCAATGCATTCCAATGGTTTTTTTTCCACTTGACGACGATTTCGCTTAACAGTGATTTTCCTGGAACACATTATCATGGTTAAGAGGGGCACCACTGTACAATTAGGAAGAGATCTAATCAGAGCCAGAATTAGGACCAGGGAGCTTGCCAGAGGATTTACAAACCCCTCCTACATTGCTAAAGTAAGGTTCTGTGACACTGTAATGTCTGTGAAATATACATCCCTTGCTTGGAAAGGAATGTACTATGATGGGATAGATATGGCCTACTGTTCGATTAAAATCAGTGGTTCCCAGCTTTGGGTAATCCAGATATTCTTGGACTAAAATTCCTATAGACCGTCACCACCAGCTATTCTGGCCAGGGATTCTGGGAGTTACAGTCCAAGAACACCTGGATTACCCAAGGTTGGGATCCACTGAACTAATAAAATTAAACAGGGTGGATTAAAATTCATGATTTTAAAAATATCAGATTTAAACAAATTTAAATATGATTTCTTAAAATTTTAATCACATTTATTTTAATGAAATGCTTTTGGAGGAAAAATCTATCTGAACATAGTTTTCTATTTAGGATACATTATAGTTCCAAGGTTATACAGCAGGAAATAGAGCTTAGTTATGTAACAGCACAAGGTTGTATGTTATTCATGAATATTTACATTTTTGGTAAACTAATTCAATTAATCTAAGTTACCCAAGTGGAGATAACATGCAGCTTTTTACAGTTAAAATAGTATAAAATAAACAAAGTTCAGGGGGGAAAAACCTCAATTCTACTGTCGTCCTGCAAATCTATTTATAAACAATGAACACATTCCCTTAAATGCAAAGTTTGAAGTTTGTTTGGAGTGAAATACACCTGTACCACGCTCTAAGTGTGAGGAGGGTCAAGCAGTAAAAACAAAAGTGAAACCTTCTGAACAGCTTACAAACCTTGGGGTCATTGTTCACATAGCTTGAAGTTATTTTTTTAAAAAAAGATATTTTGTTTAACCACTTCAGTTAATAAACATTGTTATTTATTAAGCAGATACAAGAATATATAAATTATATGTTATTTTTGTTAAATAAAACAATTTAAGTAGTTCTCCAAATATGAGTGATTAACCTATTAAACTACAATTAATTCTGATATAGCTGTTTTAGTAATCTGACAAGTTATTACTCTATAAAGGAAATCTTCGTCTGGTTGCAAATATTAAAGATTATGACTACCAGCAAGAATCACTCTTCACATTGAAAAATCATGATTTAAATCAACTCAATTTAAATCAAATCCACCCTGAGATGAAAAGAATTTAAAATGGAAGACATGAGTTGACGATTAGGAATCAAGCCATGTCTGTTGCTCAACCCAGGAATTTCCTCATCAAGAAAGACTTAAAGAATTTAATAGTACTCACTTTGGTAATGCACTTCACAAAATGTAGTCTCTTTTTATAGACTTCGAAACGTCTGTTTGAGAGCCTTTGGTCTAAAATGCTCTAACCACTTAAGTATTGTGTAAACGGGATGGGTTGTCTAATATCAGTAACCCGACTGTCATGGATGACACTAAAACCTGTCAGGCAACCTAAGATATCACACCTTTTATTTCAAAGCCTTTAACAACGTTCTTCGTCTCTGTCATAATTCTATGACAGGTTAGGCAACAAAGACAGACAATATAATCTCAAAAGTAAGCAGGGCAAAATAACAGCTAAATTGTCTGTTCCTGAGCTCACCAAGTTGCATTTCTTGCTTGTGAGGGAGGCTACTATTTAAATTCTTAATAAAAAGCAGACTAAGCAGATGTATTTTGAGTCACAAGCTCCTAGAGGTGGATTTGATGATCTATAGGGTCCTTTCCACCTCTGCAGTTCTGAAGCGCAGCATCTATTGACAAGGTTTTGAAAACTTCCCTATAGGATAATCAAAGCACACTAAAAAAAATCCCCTTCCTATTTTGACAGTGATGCTAATTCATGTCACCATGCATTTAGGTTGCAGTGCCGAAGCCTGACAACTGTGTCAATTCTAGGTTCCTTGAATTTTTACCATATACATGGTAAGTATATTTAGTGAGATGCTCTGCCAGTCCTTAACCTGGAAAAGAATTGGCTTTCAACACTTAATTGCAATGTTGTTGCCAGGCTAACAGAATGCTCCACCAAATTAAACAGCCATTGGAGTTCTTAACACCTTCACTCTAAAACATCTAAAAGAATGATAACATCAGTGAGTCATTCAGTGACCTTCAAGCCTGTGAAGGACTAAACAAGGATCACCTCCTCTCCCCTGGAATAGTACAGCATTATTTACTGTGTCTCCACTATCAGTGATATTTAGGTACAATGCCCTTGCGGTTCTCCCTTTCTTTCTAATTACAATCTAAGTAACTGAAAATGAATCTGCCGAACTAATCATCAATGGACTAAGCCCTCTGTAACTCAGCCTTGGAAAATGTGAAGATTTCCTTTTTTTTTTCATTTAAAAGATTTGAAGCATCATGAAACAAAACACTCACACGAATACATGACATTTTTAAAAACTCAAAAACAATTTTCCCACACACCATACTTCAGTTATACATGCTTAAGAGACTCGTAGTCCAACTTACCTGAACCAAAAATATAATAAGAAAATAAAAGTTGGCTATTCTTCTGAACTGCTCAAATAAATTTTTGGGAACAAAATTTTATACAGTGTACTGCAAAAGAAAACAACGACAACATAAATACATTTGCTTGATATCCTGTCAATTAAAACACAATGGCCAAAATCCCTACTGAAGTTACACAGGCATAACACAATTGCCATAAATCCCATGGGTGAATTGCTTCAACTGCCTAATTAAGTGTAACTCAGCGTACAACAGAAAATGCCTATAATAATATCTTAAAATACAGCAGTTCACCAGCAAGATTTTTCCCACCTGCGTTGCACTAGTGTAGAAACCGAATAGCATTTTGGACAATCATTGTTCAACAAGATCCCCTACCACCAACTTTGCAATAAAATGAATGCATTTACAAACATTTTAAGAATAAGAGTACAATCTTTGGTCTAGATGAGCAGGATAGAAATCATCTTCTTGTCAAAATATTTCTGTTACCCAATTCACTTCCCTAAACACACTGCATGTTAAGAAAAACAATGCGAAAAAAGCCATAAAGCAAAGGGAAAAATATAATTCACATCTGGCATCTGGTCACCTAGAATCTAGGGGACAATCTCTAAAGTTTGGTTACTAATGGTGGGAACCATCAATGGCTACTGTTCATGAAACTATTTCTTCCTGAATCCAGTTATAATGCTGGCCTTTGGTAACACCTGTGCTTCTGCACTGAAACTACTGATACAATCCTACATTTCCCTTTAGCCATTAACATTATTTATTTATTTACTGTATTTTTCCCCACCCATCTAGTCAACTGACTAGTCTTACATGTGCTTACTTTTTCAACCAGCTTCTTTATTCTGAGAAATACATCATTTGTGATATTTTATATAATGCTTCAAACATAACTCAAACATGATTACAGATGGGGATGACTCACCTACCCTAAATGAAGACGCAACCGCCATCTTTGCAAAGGGCAGCCAATGTCCCTTACTGCAGGCAGTGGCTGCAGAGGCCAGCTGGAGATTGCGGTGGCACTGGATGGTGGCAGTGGCTAAGGTAGAGAGAGGAAGGGCCGGGGGATAGGCTATGGAGATGAGTGGCTGCCCATCGGTTCACCGATCAGCTATCGAGGGGCCCATGGGCAGAATGAGACAGCCATGGGAAGAGAGGGAAGGCTAGCCAGCGATTTCTATGGAACAGATTATCATCATCATGCGGGGCACCACTGTAATTGAAGATGGTGCTCATCACTACGAATGCTGTGCTATTTTTATTCAGCATTCATTTTCACAAGCAGTGGCTTGTTGTGGTAGGGAGTTTTAGCTTCTTATCCTTTCAGAGTACACACTTACTTCTAAGCAGAAACAGAAAAAGAAGGTGGAGACACAGAACTTGCAATCTAGATGGCATGCATTTTTAGTGCAGAAAAAGGCCATTTCCAGAGATCTTGGCCTGTATCTCCCTCCTGTCCAAGATCTTACAAAAGCTGCACCCGCTCCTCCAATGCCCCATAATTTTCCACTTCACATGGTCCGCAACAGCCCCCTGTAACGATCATGAAAACATCATTTTGCCAGATTTTGGGATCTCCATTGCTTTTTTTAAATACATGGATATATTTATCAATACCTCTGACCATGCAAAAACAAACAAACAAACAAAAAACAGGGATCTAGGGGCATGCAGCCTGCAGATCACACCTGCCAATTCCTGTTTCAATGGATGAACTGGAAGAAGCAATTATATCAGTCTGTATAGAAAAACCTTTTAAGTTAGCATTTAGTTTACAGACATATGCCTTCTATTCACTTTGCTAGGACCTCCAAGTTTTATGTCAAAACAATCTAGATAGCGTTGATGGCAGCATATGTCAAATTACACTCCCAAATTTAAGAGGAAGGAATGACAACAATTTGAACAAGTTGCCAATAAAGACCAAAGAAATGTTACATTAATATCAAGTAATGCAAAAGTTTTTATAATGCTGTAACAATTCATTCAAGAAGATTTTGTATTCAAATGATGTGTTTGAAAATGGCTGTTACAATAAAAATTGCCTGCGCTAAATGACATGTAGGTGAACAAGTTTGATGGTATGGTTTATTATGGGGCTTAAGCCTGAGCTGATTTTTACTGTCTGTTTTATACGGCCACCAAGACATGTTCAGTCAAAACCTAGCTTTACCAAGCATACGTGAGAAAGTAAGCATGTAGATGCTAAGGTTATTCTCACCTTAGAAGAAATTATTCTATTCTCTGCAAACTTCTGAGGAACGTAATGGCCATGCTGGGGAAAGCGATTTGCAATATAAATTGTTCGGTTATCACTTTGATGAGGTGGGTCAAAACCCTGAAAGAGAAAAAGAAGACATTAGTTAATTAAAAATGATACAAGTTTTCTACAACATTTCTGCACAAATGAATCCTGGTTAAGTTACCATTCCATTCTCACAGAATTCAAACAAGTAAAACTAAAAGATAACTACTCTGGCCGTTTAATGGCTCTGAACCCAGCATTTAGATACATAACCCCAAAACTACTTTATAGCTTTACAAAGATTCTAGCCTCTTTAATAATGTCCTAATCAAAAGAAAACTGCTGAATTGGGCATAGAACTGAAATGAAATATCTACTGATTAAAAAATAAATACAGTGATGCCTCGCATAACGAGCGTCCTATTTAACGACAAATCCGCATAGCGATGCGGATTTAGCGTTCGCAAAAGCGATCGCATTGCGATGATTCTAATGGGCGAAAATCGCATTGTGATGATCGGTAAGCGTTTCGCTTACCGATCTTTGCATTGCGATGTTTTAAAACAGCTGATCGGCGGCTCCAAAATGGCCACCATGTCAACAAAATGGACGCCCGCAGCGTTTTCACGCCGATTCCTCGCTTACCGAGGTGGCAAAAATGGCGGCCCTATGGAGGATTTACGCTTAGCGGTGAGTTTATCCTCCATAGGAACGCATTGAAGGAGTTTCAATGCGTTCCTATGGGTTTTTTTTGCCCAATATAGCGACCTTTCCAGATAGCAACGATTTATCCGAAACAGATTATCGTCGCTATGCGGGGCAGGATTGTAAATTAAAAACACTGATTACAGAGGATTCCCAATGTATAATAGCTCACTCCCTTCAGAACCCTTTGCTTTTACAACCATTTCAATACACTCTCCAAAACTCACTTTTAGAACCACCACTGTGACTGGTGCTCTAAACTGGCATGCTACCAAGTGTGAAACATTTTGCTAGACAGAGGAGGTGGGCAGTGGAAGATAATGGAGGTTTAAACTGGCATGCTACCAAGTGTGAAACATACCAAGTGTGGGCAGTGGAAGATAATGGAGGTGGCACTGGAGTATCTAATGAACAAGGTAGAGAGAGAAGGTATGATGGAGAAGTGAAAAAAAATAGTACTCATAAACCACTCTTAGGCATGAACATCTCCGGAACCAAACCCTTATCCTCACATTGTGCCTCATGGGAAAATACAGTTCAGCATAACAACTTCTTTGTTTACAACCATCAACAGGGAACAAATTAAGTGTGTAAGTGTGGTGGTCTGCTGTAATTGTATACTTTTAACCTCTAGAGTGTGCCCTAAGAGTTTTGCAAGTGTCACAAAATACCCAATGATCATAGGAAAACAGTGCCTGCAGGCAACTTAAGCAAAATGACTGGTTTTCTGCCAAAGCACATAAGAGGAATTCAAGATTGATGATGATTCATCAGCACAAATGTTTGGATACACATAAGGTAGATCTTGTTGCCATAATCAAGAAAATAAACAGGAAGGAACAATTTGTTTTAGAGAACATGAAGTGGAACTTCATAATGGGAGATTCATACATTCCATGGACCTGGATCTAGTACTGTACTCCTTAAAATAGAAAACATCACACATTCCCTATATTACTGGCTAAATATTCTGCATGCATCTCTCCAGAAACAGTTAACAGCAGACGGGATTCTAGGTTTGAGAGAGGAGAGAAAGGAAGATCCCTCCCTTTCTTGTACACTTCAATTTCTTCTCACACATATCTAAATATTCCTCTCATTCGGCACAGAGAAGAAACTATAGACACTTGCCTGACTTCTAATGCAATGGTTCCCAACCTTAGGTAATCCAGGTGTTCTTCAACCACAATTCACAGAAACCTTCACCACCAGCCGTGCTAACGGAAGTTTCTGGGAATCGCAGTCCAACATCTCCTGCCTTATGCAAGGTTCGGAAATACTGTTCTACTACCTCCTCAAAGCAATCCTCTTGCAAAACTAGTTGTTAACCAATGGCAAAAATACACTTCCCACAACCCGACTTCTTTCCTTTCTAAAATTCTATGCCATTAAATCAATGTCTCACTTTGATACACTCCAGAATGTTGTGCATTGCACAGGATTTGACGGTTTGTGAGGACATTCTCCTATTTGATCCTGGGCTTTGGGAATTCTCACTGCTTCAAGAGTTCATGAGAGTACAGTAAAATTGTTACTTTTAGCTCTAGAATCTTCCGAGAGAGTCAGCGCAGGCGCAGACAATACCCATATGTGTGCATTCACAGAGGCCACTCAAAGTACTCACCAATTTCCTGGGCAGAGCTACCCAACTGTCATGGGCAGGATCATGCAAAGATGCAGAGTCCTATTTGCCAAATTTATTAAATGTCTAGTCTTTTTCTGAAGGGGCCTCATTTTTAGGGGGAAAAAACCCCTTATTTCCCCATCTCACAAACAGTTATAAGAAAATACGAACACAAATGTAAGTGTAAGTTCCTTCTCCAGTCCTCTGAAGATGCCGGCCACAGAGACTGGTGAAACGTCAGGAAGAACAACCTTCAGAACACGGCCAAAGAGCCCGAAAAACCCACAACAACCAACAAATGTAAGTATTTATAGGTGTTATTAAAGAACAATGTGCATGGAAGCAGGGTGGATTCAATTTATATTGTTGATTTAAATCATGGTTTAAATTTTTTTAAATTGGATTTTTTACAATTTAAATTTTAAAAATCATTTTTTTATTTAAATCATGATTTACATCAGTTTCAATTTTAAAAATAATTTATTTTTATCCACCCTGCATGGAAGTGTACCAACATGGGAAGTTTCATTTCAATATCAATTGAAACCTTCAGCAGTTGTTCTATGGTCCATAGGTAAAGGTTCCCCTTGACAATTTTTGTCCAGTTGTGTTAGACTCTAGGGGGCGGTGCTCATCCCCGTTTCCAAGCCATAGAGCCAGCGTTTTGTCCGAAGACAATCTTCCATGGTCACATGGCCAGTGCGACTTAGACACGGAACGCTGTAACCTTCCCACCGAGGTGGTCCCTATTAATCTACTTGCATTTGCATGCTTTCGAACTGCTAGGTTGGCGGGAGCTGGGACAAGCGACAGGCGCTCACTCCGTCGCGTGGATTCGATCTTACGACTGCTTGGTCTTCTGACCCTGCAGCATAGGTAGATCAAAATAACGTATATCCCACTCAAACTTTGCAACAGGTTGATGACAGTTACTAACTCTTGGAACTATATTCAAAGAATGAACAGACCTCTATCAAAGTCACATTAACTCAAGTGAGAAACACGACATATAAATCTTGTGTAAAAGACTCAATGTTGCCACTCCTGAACAGAGAATCTTAAAACCACATTACAACAACAAATAACTTAACAATAATTCATCAAGAGCATCTACTGTTCTGGAGCCTGAAGGCTTTTTAAAATCAAAACATAGGTGTTAAGTAGCCCATCTTTCAAAAAGCTTCTGTATCATTCAATAACTCTTTTGTGAGTGACTACCACTCTCACCACCACAAAGAATTGAATTTCTGCAGTTTAAATCTACTTACATCTCTACTATTCTACCCCCTTCGACTAAAACATACACAACCTTTACATTACTGAATAATGTACAGTGATGCATCGCATAGCGATTGCTCCGCATAGCGACAAAATCGCTTAGCGACGCTGTTTTTGCGATTGCAAAACCGATCGCTTTGCGATGGTCCCTATGGGAAATTTCACTTTGCGATGATCACAGGGAAGTGATCATCGCAAAGCCCCCATTTTCGGCCAGCTGATCGGCGGTTTCAAAATGGCCACCGGGTAAACAAAATGACCACCCGCTGTTTTCAGGCACTGAGTTCTTGCTTTAGAGGCACCGAAAATGGCAGAGCTATGGAGGATCTTCGCTTAAAGGTGAGTTTTAAGCCCATAGGAACGTATTAATCACGTTTTAATGTGTTTCAATGGGCTTTTTATTTTCGCTTTGCGATGTTATCGCTTAGCAGCAATTTTTTCTGCACGAATTAACATCACTAAGCGAGGCACCACTGTATGTCAAAGCACAGTTCATGAAAGTTATGCCATAGTATCTTTTGCCAGCCTCTAAGGTGCCCATAAAAGACTGTTGTTTTACTAAAGAGGACACAGTTTGCTGTCCTCTGAAGATGCTGGCCACAGAGACTGGCAAAACGTTAGGAAAAACCACCTTCAGAACACGGCCAAGAAGCCCGAAAAACCCACAATAAACATAAAGAGATTTTGTTTTCAATATTCAGAATGGACTGCAGATTTTTTTCTATGCTTCTAAAGATGGCAGACAGAATTCACTGCAGAAGCAAGATGCTTCTCGTACAAGCATCAGTCTCCATTAAAACTGCACCACTTAATATTTCAGTTTGCAAGTTGTAAAAAACAAAGGTTTCGCCATGAAAATGATGACTGTTGAAAGAAGATGCATTTTTTCATAGTCCTTGAACTACTGCTTCTACTTATTGATGAAGAGATCTTAAGCAGATTCAAACTGGCACTAACAAAAAAAAAAACACCCCTCTTATGGAGTCAGTTTATTTCCCAAATCTGACAAAACAGGGGGATTTAATTAAAATCGGCTGGCATTCACACGTTACTCCCTTTATCAACCGTAAGTGCACTTGACTTACGAAATATTTCCTCGGCAAAATATTTTCAGTGAGCAATAAAACTGAAGTTTACATATAACAGAGCTTAGCTATAAATGTGTCACCTGCATTCTGCCAGGCAGAGATGACCTTGTGTTTCAAAAAGTGCTTTGTCAGATGAGTTCAAACTAGTGTTATCTGCTAGCTCTCAAAACCTTAATGCAAGCTATTAAAATGTTCCTTGGCTTTTTCTAAAAGGTATGGCTAAAGGTATAGGGTTAAATGTAGTTATAAATGCAGGATTAAAGTGATAGGGGACAATACAACTGTACTGTACAAAGAAATAAGGTCACCAAAGTCATTACTGAAGGATATTAAAAAGGTGCTACAATTTTCTGTTACAGTTTTTTTAAAAACAACAACAAACAGTTTTCATATTCCAG